TCTATAGATGTCAGTCCAGCCTTTTTGCACAACATTCATACTTGTAAAGTTATACTTTTCAATGGACAGTTTTTATCATTTTACATGTTATGATTTTAATTCTTAGGGTTCAGGTAAATAATTAAATAGTATATCCTATTGTTTCCTGGACAATAGCAACTTTCATAATGTTCTGTGTAAGCTTGTTACTCTAGCAGTTTCAAGAAGCAATCCCTGTAGATGTCATTTAACTGTCATTAATATATTTTTCTACTTTGGACTATGCTTCATATTGAAATTAAATACTAGGTTATGTCTCTAAATCTTCTCTATAAAGATGCCAACAGAATACAGACTTTCTTATCAAATCCTGTCAAGTCTGATTCACAGTTACTTATTGAAATTATTTAGCATTCATGTCAGTGGGATTTGATGTTTTATTAAAATAAAATTAATAGAAAACATTAACTAATTATTAGTGCTGATGAACAACTCAATATAAAGACAAACAGTGCAATCATGAATTTCTTTATGGACTAAAAATAATAAAATTAGGCCTCATCTACAGCTGTTTGAATAATCACATTTGTTTTTCACTATTAGTTCTTGCATGTTGAAATGTTTCAAGGTTACTATCAAACCAAATATACTGTATTTCTTTGGCATTTGAATAACATTCTTTTTCTAATTATTATAATGTCTCTATTTTATATATAAAGCAGAATCCAACTGCTTAGCAGAGAAGCTTAAAGATTTTTGGGGAAATATTAAGATGATAGTTGATAGATTTATTTCCTCCCAAGTGGTTTGGGTTTTTTTACCATGAAAGGTGGGAGATTATATCATTTTCTTTTGCATTTAAATATTGTTAAGTTTACAGCAAAGGTAAATACCATAGTTTTTCTTTACATATTGTGTATTATTATCTAAGAAGCTTCCAAATGTGGAGACACAGACATTGTCAGATATTGTTCATCTTTATAAAAAGAAGCCTATTTTTCCAAATTTGGGGAAATTCCTTCAATGTCAGAGATCATAATCAAGAGTAAGTAGGCAGAATGTCACCATACGTCTATAGATACTATATGGTTTAAAATGGGAAAAAGCTACCAAACAAGAAGTCATTACTTAGAACAGTTTCATATATATTCACTTTACAGATAGGAAATCAGATGCACCTTTTAATATCCGTTATTCTGCTATTCTGGCTGGGGAATTCTAGAACTTGGAAATCCACACAAATTAAAGTTGCTAAGGTTGAGAAACACTGGTATAAATCAATAATTCATTCTTCCCCCCACTTGCCTGCACCCATTTGCTCTCTTAAAATCCAAGGTAGATTTATCAAAGCTGCTTTATTCTTCACTATCCATGACAATAGCCCTTACGCATATTCAATGTTGGTTTTTCATTTTCTGTTCTCCTATTGGGCCAGCAAGAAAAGAAGCAATGAATCATGTTTTTCCTGCTACTCCATACCCCAAAGGATAATGGAACTCTACTTTGTGCTTTCATAACAGTAATAAATTTTGTGGATTTTCTCTCCATTATAATTATTCCTTTCTCCTGATCATTTTTTTTAGAGCAGGTGAAATATTATTTGAATATGTAAAGGCTTGCTTCAGAATTATAGCAGTAGTCTAGCAATTCAAGTAGATTATAGGGGCTGCACAGCTATAAGTTGTTCTTTTTCTACTTCATGAGCAGTTGAATGACCTCTGCAACCAACACAATCCCTATGAATATGCAGTAATCTTCCTTTCACAGAAGAGAAAAGGGGGAAGAATCTTTCCCTCCACAGTCTTTGGGTGCACTCTTTCATCATCATGCTAGCTCAAGACTGAGCTTAGCAAGAAAGATTTTAAAAAGTTTTGATTTAATAGAGTGGAATTATTTTTTCCCCTGTTTTGGTCTCAGTTCAACATATGAAGTACAGAATAATTTCTTTTTATTTCCATTTTCTGCCACAAAAGCTGGTTGGCTTTATTTATCTCACAGGAAAAAAAATCATATCAGCAGCAAATACACTGATGCCCACAAAAGTAATTTTTTTTAAAAAAATCCTTTTTAAGATGCTAACAAATTTACTTACAAACACCTATATTTATTATTTCATAAATAGGCGCAACAGCTTCCATAAAAAAGATTAAATACAGACACAGGATGAAGAAACAATAATACAGAGCCATATGTAAAGATTATAATTTAGCTGTTTCCAATCTGTTTCTGCATATAATAAAATATCAAGAAAGCATTTGGCAGTTTTATACATAAGAGGACATAAATGACATTTACTAACTGTTACACATAAAGTGATAAAAAAGCAGTTTTAGGCAGTACAAAATAAATGTGTTTGCTCTTTTCCCAATATCACTTTTTTCTTTGTATAATGACACAAAGCCAATTTCTGTTTAATTAAAATCATTTGGGAATAATTTTCATCTTTTCAGAGTTTGAAAATATAGAACTATTAGTCAGTTGCTTAAAAATGAAGTAAAAATATGAATGTTTGCCAATTTAACCCCCTTTGTGAAATCAATAAACTGGAATGAGCCAGTTTCAAAGTACAATTAGCTACAAAAACCATTCACATTTTATACTCTAGGAGAGTGAAACATAGATGCTATTTACAACTTGCTATGACTGCTACATAAAGCCATTTTAAAAGTCTTTAGTAGTTTCATATAAACACCCATTATGAAAACCAATGGAAAATCCAGGACTTTTATCCAAGACATCTACAGTTGCTAAGGCAGTTACTAGCGCAGCACTTCACAGCAAAAATAAAAATCAACAAAATCCAAATGGTCCAATCCTCCTCCTGCAAGGAAGGAAGAAAAGCAATGTCCATTTAAGGAAGGAGAAAGAAAAAGAAAGGAGGGGTGGAGGAACAAGACATTTTTTTCCCAGAGTGAATGACCCACCAGCAAATATAGTCCTAAGTGCTTAGCGACTTTATATGTTCTAAATAAATGCAGAACTGCCTTGACTGCATAAAGCAATCCATGATGAAAAAGACTTTCCTGCATTCCTCAGAGAAAAGAAGAGATGCATTTCCAAAATATTTTCAGGTAAGATACAGCGCTTTGTCCCTCTGCATGGCCCTGTTGAAGAGAGGAGGGAGAAAAAAGAAGTTAGGAGTCACATGAAAAAGCAAATGTAAGCGGGGATAAGGGATGGAATACTGTTAATCTCTGAATCCATGCTGTGATTTTTCAAAGCTGCTGAAACAGTCATACTATATTTCATATTCTCATTAAACTCGGGTGAAGCTTTATTTTCACAGAAAGCTCATTGTTGAAAGGAAACCATATTCTTTTGATACTGGAGAAAAACCTGTGTGGGGAAACTCCAGAAATTTTATTCTCTCAAATGTAATATTTATTCTGGTTGGGGATTTTAAAACCTCTTTTCTTTATAGCACTTTGTGGTGGGAGGTTGCAAATTAATAGTTCTTATAATTAGTAAGTATTGTGGCTGAATGAAAATATAATCTTTGCAAATTCCCTTCAGGTCAAATGCCCTGAAAATGAATGCTTTGTGAGAAGTGTACCTATGGGAGTCATAAAGCCCAGTTGCATGGTTAAGTTTGACATCATAAGTGAACTACAATTAGAGCAGCAAATATACAGGCATGGAACTCTGCCTATGCAATAAAACATTGGACTGGCCATCTCCTACATGCTCTAAAGCAAGGCCTGCGGGCCTGATTCAACCTGCAGGGTGCTTAAATCCAGCCTGTGGGGCTGGCCTGGAAATAGCAAAAGACCGACCTACAGTGCCTTAGGCAGCCAAAACCACCACTCCTATACCCCATTTTCAGCCTGGATGGCCTCCTGCAGCACTCTGCTGTGCAGCCTCCCGCGCCTCATTTTGGCCGGCAGAGTGCTGCAGGAGGCATTCGTCTCATCTCCCCGCCCCCGCAACTCATGGAGAACTACAATGCTGATATCCAGTTTGACACCCCTGCTCTAAAGCCTTTTCCTGAGAGTCAAGAAATTCTCTAGAAGGATGTGAGATGAAGTATACTGCTATACTGCAAAGGATAAATGAGCATAGCAAACCATCTATAAGAGTAGTGTTCCTTTGCTCATGCATAAGGCCCTCTTGATCAATGAACAATGTACTTGTCAAATGAAGTAGTCATAAGCTGTAAAAAGTTCAGAAAGCAGCAGCCTTGCATATAAATTATACTGTCTTCTGAATCTGCCTGACAAGTTTCCCAAGTTTGGCCACAGAACAATGGCAGCCAAGACTCAAGGTTGACCAGAGTTATTTAACAAAGACTTCTTTATATAAGCGAATGTGATTGTCCCTTCTCAGTTTAGAATTTTTGAAAAGTAAATCTTAGTTGTAGTGCAAGATCTTCTCCCAAAACCTCTCTCCTTAATTGTGGCACATGAAAATGATCCTTCTGTTAGCTATATGAACATTTCTGCTAGCCTCTAGAATATATTTGTTGTACAAAAATGAAAACCATTCCTGAGTCCAGTTTTTGTTTTAAATGCTACTCAATGCCAGGTGGCATACACTGCCTGCTCACCCATTACTGCAGTAATCATTATTCCATTCCACAGTCTGTGCTGGGGGATTTCTGCACCCTGAACGAACATACTCCATTGCTTGGGTAACAACTTGTGCAGCTGCAGATGCTGGATTGATAATATTCTGGTAATCAGGCTGGAGAGTAAAACCCTAAAAACAAAAACAAAATAAAATAAGGTTTAATTATGCAAGCTAACCTCTCAATTGAAAGGCTTGATAAAGTACCGCGTTGTTCTTTGTCATTCTGAAACTTGCAGCAAAAGGAAAATAGATGGGCACTTGTGGCTTTTCAGACAATAATTTTAATTGGTTAAGACAAATGCCAGACAACAAATTGCAATCATGTAGAGAGAATGTTGAAACAAAGAACAAAAACATTTTAAAGCTTTTTTAAAAAAAGGAAAAAAAACTCAGTGCATTCAACATGAGAAAATAAAAGAAAGGTCTGTGTGTTTCTTGAAGCTCATATTTCAATTCAAACCAAGAATATTGTATTAGTTAATTCCAAGAATATGCAACAGAATCTTTTTGAAGGAGGGAGGCAGCAGGTGGCTGAGTGTTTTATTAGACTACACCTATTCACAATTATTGTTCTCCAAACCCTTTTATTTGGTTCAGCCACAAAAGGACCATCTGCTGCTTCCTTTATTTGCACTTCTTTCTCAACTACACAAAAAAAATCAACTAAAGCTTTTTAACCGTTGTTAGACTAATGTAGCAAAAAAACCAACAGCCCTCCCTCTCCAACCCCCCGCTTGCTGTTGTTTTCAATATGTTTAAATGTTTTCCAAATCAGAAAGCTGATCAGATTTTCAAGAAGGCTTTACTGCCAAAAGGCCAGGAGACCTGCTTTATTGTGTATCATAATAGAGAAAACAGAACAAACCAGCTAAAAAGAAACTTCCCAAGGACATCAGAGGATGATACATTAAGTAAACGTTCCGTTTAACTGAGCAGAACACATTTGTCAGAAATTGCACTCTCTTCTCACTAGTTTATATTTGGCAAACAGAATAAATACCTAACTTAAACCAACAGGTTTCTAACTGACTATTCATATTACTATTTCATGAGGTGGGTTCATTTAACAAGGGTAAACTTTCCAAGCACTATTGATTTTCAGATAGGCCAAGTTACAGAACTTATGAAGGATGGAGTCCTTAATTGCTTGAATATAAACTGCAATCTATTCACTTGGCCCATCAATGGAAGTTCTTACAATATTTCCAGATACTCCTGTCAACTAATCTCAGGAATGTTTAATATGATGATGGAAAATAATGTTTAACTTCAGCCACTTTCTAATTATTATTTTTTTCTATACGGCAACTAAAATAAAAAATATATAGCCTCTAATGATTGGGAAAGGAGGGAGAAAGGAAAAGAGTTAATCACCCTTCTAAATGAATTCCAGATTTCTAAAGCAGATTTGATATAAAGGTGTGGGTTTTTGTTTTTTTGTTTTGACAAACAAATAGCTCAGGAAATATTGATATTTTGTGTTCCAGTGGAAAATAATAGAGTTAAAAGTATGCTACTATATGCTTCCAATATTAGGAGTGGCTACAATATGAGCAAGTAAAAACAATGTATTTATTTAAATGCTATACATAGAGAACATCTGAATGTAATTTGGGGTGTCAGATTTCTCTGAAACAGTCTTTCTAAAATTTTATTGCATGACATTTCTTTTTATTATAAATAAGTCATATATGCTAATTTTTATCCTAGTTCTGTGATGTCTTATTAAATTGTATAACACATAATTCTTGCCTAATCTTCTATGCTGCTCTTCCCTTAGGGTATTTTTTTAACTTTTTCACATGATAACTGTTTCATTTAATTGCTGAGTTAACATTTAACTGCATTTAAATGTAGTATGTTAACAATTCTTAAGAATGGATATTGTTTTAAATCTATAAATCTGTATTGGAGATTTTAACAGAAATGATTTCGTGTATTTTAAGTGAAACTTGAAGATTATAATGCTCATGTAATTTATGAGTTGTCTTGGGAATACTCTAAAACACAAGACATGCATTTGAAACAAAATAGTAATACAGTTTTCTTCAGGCAAATCTTAAAGACCATCCGATGTATTCTTATACAGCAGTTTGAAGTTTGAAGTTTAATAACATTTGTATGCCTCCCAATCCCGTAGGACTATGGGCGGCTTACAATACAACATAAATCAAAAAGAAAAGAAGAGAAGAGAAGACAGATTTAAAAAAAACCCCATAGATTTAAAACACACCATGCGCTCCATTCTAAGTGGGGCTGGACAGTATTTAAGGTCAACAGCCCCAGGCCTGCTGGAACAGCCAGGTTTTAGTGGCTTTACGGAAGGCCGAGAGAGTGGGAAGGGTCCGGATCTCTG